TGTCCAGCTTTAATAAAAGCAGGGGACAGACTATTCTAGGATGTTCCAGAACATTCCAAAACGTTGTGTTGTGGAAGGGCCCAGAATGTTCCAGAACGTTTAGGTGGAAGTAATGTGTAGGCCCCAAACCTGATGCCAGAAAGAGCCTAAGAGATAGAGACTAGAAGCCACACTGGCTGGGGCGACGTGGGCAAAGCTTGCACAAGGAGGGAGAGTGTTGACAAAGATGTATTGAGAGCAGCCTCCTGGAGTGTGGGACACAGCTGTGACTGAGGCTGCTCGCGCGTCACATCTGGCAGAGGGAACATTTATTAAACCAATCATCACACAAGCAAAGAAGCAATAATATAATTGTCAACATGATAGAGGCTTGAGTTGGGGCATAGTTCCTTAGGGGGCCAGGCTGAGCCAGGAGGGCAGGGAGGGACATTCAAGCTGAAGACCTGGCCAGGAAGATAGCAGAGCCTTCCGGGAAAAAGGGACAGCCTGTTTGGGGACCTTGAGGAGGGAGAGTGCCAGGAGCCCTGTAGAGTCTGGTAGGACTGGGTGTGAAGTGGGTGGTGGGCAGAGTCACATGACACAGGACCCCTGGAGGCCTCAGCCTCCCTATTAGGTGTATGCCTGGCCTTGAGCAGGACCTTCTGTAGCCCCCAGGGGGGCCTAACCTGCACCTCCCACACATAAACAGAAGATAAAGACATGAGTCCCCTGCCCTGACCGGTTTGGCTCAGTGGATAGAGCATCGGCCTGCGGCCTCAGGGGTCCCAGGTTCGATTCCGGCCAAGGGCATGTACCTTGGTTGCAGGCACATACCCAGTGGGGAGATGTGCAGGAGGCAGCTGATCGATGTTTCTCTCTCATCGATGTTGCTAACTCTCTATCCCTCTCCCCTCCTCTCTGTAAAAAATCAATTAAAAAAAAACAAACAAAAACATGAGTCCCCATCCTTCCCTGCAGACGTTGGGGGAGTATTACAGGGACACCTCACTGCCTCCCTCCCTTCCTCAGCAGATTACCTCCCAGGGCTCAGTACTCAAGCCTGTCTCCGGGAAAACAGGACAGCCAGTTTCCATGACAACCCTGTGTTATGAGGACACATGAGCACTACTGCCATGATGCCAGCCACCACCCACCATCCATCAGGTCTGCATTGGGTACAGCAGGAAGGTGGAGGAAGGGCCAAGATGCCTGGAAGAACTGGGAGAACAGAAAAGAACCCTGAGGCTTAGGGAGCTGTGGTGAGCCAGGGCTCCTCACAAGGTCACCTCTGCTAGCCCTCACCCCTGAAAGGAGCCCCAGATGGAAGCAAAGGCCCCCTCTCTCCTGTAACCCCAAAAGGGACCCAAAGCCCTTTGTGTGGCACTCGGGCCCCTCTCCCAGTGAAGCCCTCAGAAGGGCAGGTGATGTGAGCAGGGATTACTTTTCTTGGAACACACACACACCTCCAACACACACTCATGCACCTGGGACATACCTCCCTTCTCCCCAGATGCTATCTATCCTCAAAGCCCAAGTTAGCTGCCACCTCTTCCAGGCAGCCATCACTTATCACCTTCCTGGAAGGGACTCGTCCCCCTTTCCACACATCCACAGCACACATGGTTTCTACCCTCACCACTTAGCGTTATTAACTCCACATCTACGAGGCATTCACTCTTGGCCCAGCCTTGGCCTGGTCACCAGAGCTTTGAGATTTAATACACTAGAGCCCTGGCCTGTGTGGTTCAGTGATTAGAGCATCAGCCTGCACACCAAAGGGTCATGGGTTCAATTCCTGGTCAAGGGCACATACCTGGGTCGAGGTCCAATCCTCCATTGGGGTGCATATGGGAGGTAACCAATAGATGTCTCTCTTTCTCCTTTCCTCTCTCTAAAAATCAATAAACATATCCTCAGATGAGGTTTTAAATTTTTTTTTAAAGAATTGATACACTAGACACACAGCAGCAAACAAACAAAACACAATCTCGAGAGAGAGAAGGGAGAAAAAAGATTCAGAGATCAGTCACAACTTCTGAGTACCAAGAAGCTCAATGCAAACTGACATAAGCCACAAATCAAGAGGCAGTGTGGGCTTCAGGCACAGCTTGATCCAGGACTTCCAGCAATGTCATGAAGACAGTCTCTCTCCATCTGTCTGGAAGGCTCTGTCATTTGGTGACGTATGACCCTTGGTAGCTCCAGACACCCATATCCTCCCAGCTCAGCAACTCCAGTTAACAGGGCATGTCACTCTCCCAAGAAATCCCACCAATACTAGAGGAGGCTTGGGTCATGCTGCTCAACTTCCCCTGAGCCACATAGGTTTGGTCAAAGCAAACCAGAGTTCTATTAGAAGGGAAGAAGAAGGTGCTGGATATCAAGTAGATTCCTACCAAGTCCATGATAGCATTCTCAATAGAATGAATAGCTGCTGTAACAAAGGCCCAGAGGCTGGACCATTGATGTTACTGCAAGAAACAATGAGGACAGAGCCCATTTTGTTGGTCGACTAAAAGATGGGAGGGACACAGCAGGAGAGGTGCCTGCCAGTTGGCAAGTATTGAAAGCCCTTAAGAGAAAATTAGGTGATGTCTGAGAGCAAGAGGACGTCATGGGAGTCCGTAGGGAAGGGACATGGTCTGACCCCACATAGGGGATGGCCTTGACGGGGAGAGGCTGCTTCTGGGGTCTGAGATGGAAACAAGGAGAAACCCAAGCACACATACTGATCCCCTGCTCCATGCGCCATCGTTTATGAGACCCATGGAAGATGTCTTCATGGAGCTTATAAAATTATGTTGTACCAACGTTGAAGTAATTGCTATTTAATAATTATAATTGTTTAGTAATTACTATGTGAAGCACAGGGAGGTTGACAGGGAGCTAAGCATGGGTATAACAGGGAATGCTAGCCCAGTCTGGGACAGCTGGGATGTCTTCTGCTGAGGAGCATAGTTAGTTAAGAATTTGGGCAGAGCCAGGTATTCCTGGAAGAAGGAAATGCATGTGCAAAGGCCTTGGGGTTGGAAGGAACATAGTAGGCTGGAGCATAGTGAGTGAGAGGCAGGCAGTCTCTGTAGAAGTGGTTAATGTGTTTTTTTTTAATTTATTTATTGATTTGAGAGAGAAGAAGAAGGAGGAGGAGAAGGAGAAGAAAGAAGAGGAAGAAGGAGGTGGAGGAGGAAATGGAGGAGGAGGGAGGGAGGAAGACATTCATTTGTTATTCCACTTATTTATTCATTCATTGGCTTCTTCTTGTCTGTGCCGTGATGGGAGAGAGAACCTGCAACCTTGGCATATCGGGACAACACTCTAACTAACTGAGCTACCAGGCCAGGGCCAGAAATGGTTAATGTTAATGGAGCCAGATTGGGGCGGGGGTAGGGGGGGTCATGTTGGTACATGTTTGGGCTCCTCATGGCAGCAGTAAACCCAGAAAAGAGGTGATGTCTGGGTTTGGATTTGTATAATACTGACAGCTCCTCAGCTGCTGCATGGAGCTGGAAGGTGGCTGGAGGGGAAGCAGGGAGCTGAGAGAGGAGGTGGTAGCTTGGACCTCAGGTGGTTTCCATGGTGATAGAAAAGCATGTGGGCTGGAAGCCAAGGGGACAGGTCCTGCTGATGGGATAAGGTGGAGTGAGGATAGGTAAGAATCAGGGGCCACCAGGCGACTGAAGCCATTGGGATGAAGAGGACAGGGTGGAGATGTAGGAGAAAGGACCACTAGGGGCCCTCCCAGCTGGGCTAAGCAGTTCTGGTAGCCATTTCAATTGACAGTAGGGATGTTTGCACAGCACTGTGGATGAGTCGAATCCCACTGATTTGTATGCTTTAATACTGGTTAAAATTCTATGTGAGTTATATATTTTATCACCACAAAAAAAATAGAGGAAAAACCTTAAGTATATATCAACTCAAACTGAAGAAAATGAAAATACTGTTCTTCAGCCACCTAGCTTATACTGCAAGGGCTCTGTAACACCATGTGGCTGGGGGTGGTGCAGGCGGAACGTTTCTGTCATCACAGAAAGTTCTACTGGGCAGGGCTGGCCTGCTTCCACTTCTTATCTCTGTCCAGGTCTCATTTCCTGGCAACGTTCCCAGGGGCGGCCCTGAAACCACAAATCGGGCCCAGAACGACACCTGGGGGCCTAAATTGCCTCTATGTTGAATCCTGATGCTCATGGCATCAGGCAGGGTCCTAGCAGCAGCAGGAGACACTGAGAATGGAAGATCCAGGAGTGTTGTAACGAAGGGATTCTTTGCAAAGGTGTGGGCAAGGTTGGGTAACTGACACAAGAGGTCCAGCGTGTAGGACAAGCAGCCGAGGGGAGCTGTTACCACGCGCAGGCTGAAGGCTCACTTGATGGAGGTGGGTGAAGGGAGGGACATGTGGAAAGAAACACCAACTTCTCCTTCTTCCCATCTCCTGTTGGTCCGGTCACCCCCCGCCCCCTCCCACCACCATGGCTGACTCTAGCAGAAGGCAGAGAGCCCAAGGGAATCAACCTCTAGGGGCACACGAGCCACAGGGAGTTCCCAGGGCCTCCCCCATCTCAGAAAGGGCCTGATGGGCAGAGGTCACGGCCATGCTCAGGCCACTCTTCCAAGACAAACAGAAGCAAGCTTTGTTCAAGACACTGTTTTCTTTTTTTTAATATATTTTATTGATTTTTTACAGAGAGGAAGGGAGAGGGATAGAGAGTTAGAAACATCGATTCAGCTGCCTCCTGCACACTCCCTACTGGGGATGTGCCCGCAACCAAGGTACATGCCCTTGACCAGAATCGAACCTGGGACCTTTCAGTCCGCTCTATCCATTGAGCCAAACCAGTTAGGGCCAAGACATCGTTTATGGACATGGTTTATTCCTCCTGATCCCCATGCTGCATCTCCAGCCTTAGTCACCCACCCTCCCAGCAGGGAGCTGTCCACAGCTCCTCCTGAGAGGGTCTCCTCCCAGGGGCTGGATCTCCAGAGGTGAGGTGGGGGAAAGGGGGGAGCCCTAGCACAAGACGATTGGTTCCTCTGAGGCTTCAGAAATGCACCCTCTCCAGGGGCGAGAGGAGGAAAGAGGAAGGCGACACAGAACGTGGGTTCGATACTCATGAAGCTACACAATAGAAAACAAAAAGCAGCAGGCACCAGGGAAAGGAGGCCCAGGGAGGAACAAACGCCAGACCCCCACTCCCAAGTGGCAGCATGGCAACCCCAGGATCCAGAGGGGTGAGGGATGGGACCAGGGAGAGAGGATTTGGGGGTGCAGGAGCCCAAGGATGGTCCCACGCTGGCCTGGACCCCCTGGGCGCAGGGCAGTGAGGATGGAGCTTCCCCTGCCCCTGGCTGTACGTGGTTCAAGGGTGGCCTACAGCTTGGTCGGGTCCAGCTTCAGCTTGTAGGGTGGGGGGCTGTCCCCATAGGCGTGCGACGGGGGAGGATACAGAGGCCAGTCTGGCTCTACCATGTAGCCCTTGTGTTGTTCCAGGGTCAGGGGCTGTAAGGGAAGAGGAGGGAGGGCAGGCTAAGGAGCCCCACCCTGCAAGGCTCCTTCCCACCCCCGATCTCAGGTCACTCTGACTAAGGACGGGGGGCGTTCTTCCCTCCATTTAACAAGGGAGAGAAGAAGCTTGCCCCACATCACACAGCAAGTCAAAGGGTCCTGCCTCCATGGAGAGGGGTACCCCCATCCCGAACTATGGAGCACCTCTCCCCTGTCCCTCCTCCAGGCCCACCCACTGGCCCCGCCCACCTGGAACTTGAGGTGCTGGCCAGGAGCAGTCACCAGAGTGGAACAACTGAGCCACAGCATCACCAGCACAGAGAGGAAGAGGCAACAGGCCAGGACCCAGCGAGGAAGCCCCGAGCGCCTGCGCAACACGGCAGGTACACTCAGTGACCCTAGTGGGGCTTGGGAACCCTCCCCTCCTGCCCCAATCCCCCCCCCCAGGGCCCTGCCACCCACCGGGACATGCAGCTGAGGAAGTCATTGTCCTGCAGCTCATCAGGCTCCACCTTGACCTTGTTGCTGGTCCTGACTCGGATCTTGGCCTTCCTTACCTTGTCCAAGGGGCCTAAAGGGTCTGAGAGACAGGTTGCTCCTCAGTGGCGGCCAGGCCTTCCCTTAGAGGCCACAACAGCCACTGAGAGGAGAAAGGAGGTCAGGACCTGGAGGTCATGGAATCCTGGAACAGATCAGAACCCTGGGAGGTGGACCATGAAACCCTGGGAGAGGGACCATGAAACCCTGGGAGAGGGACCATGAAACCCTGGGAGAGGGACCATGAAACTCTGGGAGACGGACCATGAAACCCTAGGAAACAGACCAGGAAACCCTGGGAGATGGATTATGGGGCCCTGCTAAGCAGACCAAGGAACCCCAGGAGTTGAGACAGAAATCCCAGTCCTAGAGGGTTCATTTGCCAGGAGGACTCCTTGTGGCAGTGGAGCTACCCATGGAAGGAACACTGGCCTCGGCTCAGACCTTACCTACGTGTACCTCCAAGGCCTCAGGATGAGATCCTCTCCAGGTCACCTCCACTCGCTGCAGACGGGCCCCCTCACGCCCTAGGTTCTCTACCATGGGCTGGGTCTGGACCAAGAATAAGACAGCACAGAGAAGATCTTTCCAAAGGCACCACCTCAGTTCTGGGAAGCACCTTCCTGTGCCCCACATGTGCCCCACGCCCAGCTGGCACCTAGTCCCACTGGGTGTAGGAAGGACAGTCTTCTGTGGGGCTGTGATGTCAGGGATGTTGTACCCTGCTACTGTGAGCCCCTCAATCTGTCTTGAACCCAGCCTCCAGCTCCTGAAGAACATAATCCAGGCCAAGACAAGTGAATCACGGGGTTTGGCTGAGAGGTGGGGTCAATCAGTGTAAAACCCTGCTTAATTAAAATTCCAGAGAAGTTGTAATTTAGAGCCTTAAGTATCCATCCTGCTAGCAGGAGTAAACTGCTTGCCTGGGAATAAAGCCACCACAAAGGAAAGTAGAATCAAGTGGTAAAGTGAGACACTGAACTCCTGGATCCAGCTGTGCCTGAAGCATCAGCTGTAGACTTTGTATCTCATGACCAAGAATGATTGTATCCCACCTTCTTACCCTGACCGGGTGTGGCCCCTGCCAGGCTCCTCACCTGGAACACCACCACCTTCCCATTGTCAGTCTGCAGGTAGTATGTCCAGGTGGAGGAGACGAAGCCCTGGGCTGAGTTGACAAGGTCATTGCAGAGGGTGGAAAACAAGTCCAGGAGCGAAAGAGCCCTGCTCGGAGCTTCCAGGACCTTTTTCTGCCGAGAAGGCACAGAATGTGACTAAGGCAGGGCACTGACCAACGGGAAGGGAGCTGGGTGAGTCCACTGTGATTGGAATTCACTAAATGGTTTGGGGCAACAGTGCTTCATAGGGGAAACACAGATCTCTGCTGCATTTCATGGGCTGAGTGCCCTGGGGGAAATAGATTGCTCTCTCTGAGCCCGAGAATGGGAATGATTCTCTTCCCTCAGGTGGTCGCTACAAGATTTTAACTAGACAAAGGCACAGCACTAGTGCCTAATATATAATAGCCGCTATTATTAAAAACTTTGCCACCATCATTATTCTTCTCTTGGTGGCATCAGGAGAATAGGAAGGAATGATAGTGCTCTGTCTTTTATGAATAGTGAAAGGCCGGAGGGGGTGGAGGAAAATGGGGGAAGAAGGGCTTTCTGTGAAATCCCAGCCCATGGGTCTCTGGCTATAATGAGTTGTTTGCTGTGCCTCGGTTTCCTCTGATGCTGCAGTGCCTAATTTCATTCATGACTATGAGGGAGCAGTTATTAATAAGTGAGCAGTTATTATTTCTCCCCAGGGTGGTGAGGAAGGGAGGGCACTGTGTGTGTGTGCTTGCAAGGCTGCTTCTCCCTGAACCTCAGTTCTGAGCGCCGCCCCCCCCCCCCCAGATGACAGTGGCCACCTGTTCACCACGAGAAAAGTGCTTAGATCAACACCTGGCATGCAGTGGGTGCTCGATAAAGTGAGCTCTGGTGGCACGGAAGACGACCTAGTTGAGGGAGTAATTATTAGCCCTGGTGGCACTGGCTTTAGATGCCACCTCTGCACAGCTCGGTGTGACCTTGGACTCCTTGGGCATGACATTGTCCCTGGTACCTCCAGGCAGCAGGAAGAATTTGGGACAGGCTGAGGTCAGACCTGGACCAAGAGAAGTGCTTGATAAATGGTGGCTATTTTCTATTATTTACTTCTTGCAATGGGGGGGTGGTGGTGAGGGGGGACAGAGATGACAGCTGAGACTTGAGACATGATATGCTTGATCGAGGATACCCAGTAGGCCCAGAATGGATCAGAGAGCCTGGGAGGCTCTGGTCATGAGTGTGGATTTTGGTAGAAAGAAGGAGTATAAGTACAGGGTGGCAGGTGGGAGGGTGCCCACCTTCTGCATGGTCTCCGGCTCAGGCTCCAGCTCAGGGTTCTGGCTCCAGCAGCCCTCGATACAGGCCTGCTGCTCCGTCTCCTTCACGTAGGCCTCCACACAGGCTGCAGGAGCAGGAGGGGGTGACTGGGAGCAATCTTCCCAGGCCATCTCTCCCCACCCTGGCCCACCCAGCCAGCCCTCACCTGCTTCACACTCAGCTTGAGTGGCATTGGGTTTGGAGCTCCTGGCCACAAACCGGCAGATGGAGAAGAGGCGGCAGCCTCGCTCACAAGCACTGATGGAGACGGCCCTGTCGTATTCATTCTGGGACTTGGAGGGGTTCTCCTGGTCCAGCTTCTGGGAAGGGGAACACAGGGCTCAGGCCAGACGGAGAAACAGGAGGAGGTGGGCACTGGAAGCACTCAGAGGAGGAGGTGTAAGATTTGGTTCTCCTTCCTCAAATCTAGGGAGATTAGGATGAGGCTGAAAATACTAGTGGGGGCTCTTAGCTCTGAGGAGCACAAAAAGGAAACGGGGCTTCAGGAGGAAGATGGACAATGGAGGACACTGGTTTCGGGGAAAGGTTAGAAAACTAGGGAACGTGGAGGGAAATGGGCCCCTAAAGGCTCCAGGGAGGAGAGGGGAGATTGAGGAGGATTCTCCATCCCGAGAAAGGGGAGCGGGTGCTCAGAAAAGGCTCTGTCACCCTCCAGACCTGGGAAAATCGGGATCCAGCTTTGCGGGGGGAGGGGAGGGGAGGAGGAGAGAGGTACAAGTGGGGGCTGGCGGCTCTGTGCGGTGGCTCTGAGCGGGTGAGGGAGGAGCATATGAAAGCTGCCTGGGTGGGCGAGGAGGAGGAGCCTGTCTGGCCTGAGGGAGGTGCAGGTTGGGCGCCCCAGGTCCTTGCGCAGCAGTGTAACCAGAGCCCGTCAGGTGGCATTAGGATCCTCCTCAGTCCTCGCCCTCCCCCTCCCCCGCTTGAAGGGACTCCCCCATCCCCACCCGCAACCCCGCATTCATCTGAGAGATCGGATCTCAATACTCTCCCCCATCCAAGGACACCCCCCTCCCCAGCCCATCCCCCAAGGCAGGAACATCCCCATCCCTTCGTGGGGGACCGGGTGCCTGCGCTTGCTCCCATTCAGGAGACCCAGCCCTTCCCCCACCAGAGGGGCCTAACCCCGCGGGAGAGACAACCCCCATTTCTGACCGCTTAACCCTCCTAGGAACCCATCCCGTGCTCCCAACCGAGAGACCCGCATCCCCAACCGCTCCTGCATCAGGAGATCGCGGGTCCTCCGGGGGCGCCGCATGCGCGTCACCTGCGAGGGCTGCAGACGAGGGTAGCGAGCGCGGCACCGCTGCTGGCAGCTCTGCGTGTCCCCGAGCTGCGGGGCGAAGGGGTCGCGGGCGTGCGGGGCGAGCGGCGCGGGCGTGGCGAGCGGAAGCTGCAGCAACAGCAGCAGGAGTGGCAGCTGCGCCACCGGAGCCATGGTCGCGCCAGGCTCTAGGGGTGCAGGATGCCGACTCCCGCAGGCGCGGAGGTTGCGGCGGCTGCGGGGTCCCAGTCGCTGACGTCACCCGAGTGAGGCAGCCTGGGAAGGGGGGGGGGCGGAGGATGCGGAGAACGGGCGGGGCCAAGGAGCTGCTGCAACTCCGGGATGCGGGCAGGTGGATCGCGGCCCCTGTCATCTGGTCTCTCGCGTATCCACTGGAGAGAGGATCTCAGCCTGAGCTAGGGACCCAAAGGAAACAGACAGGGTGATGAGATACAGGAGTCTATTTGCCAGGATATCAGGGAGGGCCTCCCGGAAGAGGCTGCGTTTGAGCTGGCCAAAACAGGCAATCGAGGCAGGAGGAACTGCGAGGAACCTGACGTAGGGAGGGGCTTGTTAGGATAAGAGGGAGGTGGGGCTAAAGCCTGACCCTAGAGAATGGAGATGAAGCGTCGGGAGCGTTGCAAGCTGGTCAGCCAAGGCTTTGGGAAGGTCCCCGGCATTATCTCCTTTGATACCCAAGTCAGGGGGGCGGTAACTTGGGAGCAGTGTGCCTCCTTTGGAAAGCCCTCTCAGCCCGTCCTCATCTTCTTCTGGCCCAGCCCTAACCCACAGATCGGGGGATCGGGCCCCTGCTCCCCCGGACTGAGGGCCTCTCGGCCCGAACTGAGTGGGGTGGGCAGAGAGGTGCTGATAGGGAAGTGGGGAGTGCTGTTAAAATTCCTAATGGTCTTGGGAAAACTTGGGACAAACGGACACTTCTGGTTTCCATAAAAGCCGTACTCCCCAGGTGAGGAATGGTAGCCCCGTGAACCTAGCGTTAGGTCACCCTAGCTTCCTCTCTGCCAGGCATGGGAGTGGGGGTACCCCTCTAACTCGGGGTCTCCTGTAAAGGTGACCCCTGCTCCCCAGTGTGTCCCTCACAGGTGCCTGCCAAGGCCTGGAGGCCTCCCGCGCCTCTTCTACGCTCCGCCCCCGCAGACGGGGCGACAGCCCCGCGGGGTTGATGGGTCAAAGGGCGCCTCAGGTTCCGGCCCAGGAGGAAGGAACAGAGGTTGCGGGGGGAAGGGGGGGTGCTGGAATGGCGCACGCTTTCTCCCCGGCCGGCCGCCCGGCTTTCATGTCCGCGGCCTCGGCCGGCCCCCACGTGGCTTAATCAGGCGCGGCTGTGCTTGGTGAACCCCGAACATCTGGATCCTGGCGCGCCCCTCCCCCGCTCCCGGCTAGGCCGCGGCGACCCTGCGGCGAGGGCCTGCGGCTGCGGTTTGCGAGGGTGGGGAAGCCCGCGTCCAACCTACCGCGCGCCAGCCCCGCGCCTCGGGCAACGTCCCACTTGCCTGGTGGGAAACCCAGGCCCCAGGCCCCTGCGGCGGAGTTAGGATGCAAGCCCACACATGTCAGCTCCAGAGCCCCGAGCGCTCACGCCCTCCGCAATTACCGTCCTGCATTTATCGCAAACAAAACCTTTCCCAGGCAGTTTCCTGCAATAAATCTGTAAGGAAGTACCAGCAGCATTTCCCAGCTTGCAGATGAGGAAACTGAGGCTCAGGTTGGCCAAGGGTGTCGGTCCAAGTTAGAGAAGCAAAAGACGGCAAGATTGGGGACGCGCGTCGGGGATACTAGGCGTCGCTCTTAGAGCGGAAAAAGAAGTAAGTACGGCCGAGTCCTGCGGAGGGGGAAACTGAGGCAGGAGGGGTTGGACCGCTGGCCTTGGTCTCCCGAGAGGAGTGGAAAGGTTAGATAGCCGCCGCCCCTCTTTTCTGCTCCGCGAGGCTGCTGGGGGCCGAAGCGGAAGGAGGAATTGACCCCGGCCCCCCAGGTGAGCCCACTCGCCCCTCCTGTAGTTCCCGAGGGAGCAGGTCCAGGTGAGGGGCGGGAGGGCCGGCGGGCGGCCAGGGTCGGATTTCAGGAAATCCGCCGACATTCCTTCGGGGCTTAAGAGGGAAAGTTGACTCGGCGCCGCCCCTCGCCCCCCCCCCCCACTTCCTACCCCCTGGGGCGGCCCGGTGGGGGCTGCAGGCGGGAGGGGGGGCGGCGCGCTGCGACCGGCCTGGGTGTGAATCAGCAGAGCCCGACGTCCGGGAAGCAGCAGCTGCGGTCAGAGCGGGCATCGGACAAGCGCCCTTTGTCCCTTGCCGCCCTCACCACGACCCCGCTGACCCCCACCCCCAAGTTGGGTACAGGCGGGGAGAAGGCATGGCCTCTTGGCGCCAGCGATTGCTGACAGTGGGGAGGCAGGGGAAAGGGGCACAATGTCACCCAACTGTCAGCCTCCTGGACCCCAGACGTCCAAAGTTCTCCAGAGAGCAAGACGGGCAGGGAGCTCACGCTCAGTGCACTGGCCCTGACCTGGACTCCCACCTCCAGTGCCTGTAACCCAGGCATCCCAGTTCCCCAGCCTCAGCCTCCTGGGTGGAAATGATAAAGCACCTCGGTCTTATGCACACAGGTCCTGAACCTTATTCTGCTGCTCCCCCCGACCCCCACCCCCACCCCAAGTCCAAGTCCAGAACCTCACTGTAGCCACTTCCTGGGAACACTGGCCTGAACCAAAAGGCAGCTAATCTAAGCAGGGGATGGGGGTGGGGATGGTGTCTCAAGGGAGAGACAGCTCTGTGCCCTCCTCATTCCTACTGGCTCTGGGTCTCTATGGGACCCTAAAGGTGCTGTAACCATGGCCTCCCCCCAGTGGCGCCTCAGAGCCCTGGCATGATGCAGGGAGCTGGGGCTGGAGGGTCTCCCCCAACCTAATCCTTAGGTGCAGAGACTGAAAGACTAGGGAGGAGCCCCTCCCCTAGCCCATGTGGGGCCCTCCCTTCATCTGCCCCCTCAGTACATTCCCAGCCACCTTCAAGGACTTGGGTCAATATTTGCTAGAAGTTCCATCAATGCTGGTTCCTCTCCCTGAACAAAGAGGTGCTGCAACTGGGGAAGAAGGGGTTAAGTCACAGGGACACCAAGGTTAAGGAAGGGTGCGCCCAGAGGTCAAATCTTTCCTTAAAGTCAAAGGTATGAGGTCAAGGTCACCCAGAGGGCAGAGGGCACACTTCAGGACAGGGTTGGACAGGATTGGGAAATCCAAAGAATCCATACCCTTCTATCGGTAAGGACCAGAGAGGGGTGGCTACTGGCTTGGGTCACACAGCACTTCAGGGGCATAGGCCTGGCTAGGACCCTAGGCAACATGATACACTGGGACTGAGTTTTCTTGCTGCTTGGAGGGACTGAGAATTCTTTATCTTTTTATTTTGCAAATGTTCACTGAGCTCTTCTCCTGTCCTGGACCCAACATGAGGGTCCTAATGGCTCTCAAGCTGCTCACAGTCTAAAGGAAATAAGTCACCAGAGAAAGCTGATGTTTGAAAAGCTGTGCTACAAAGACTATTTAAAAAGGGGAAAGGGATAGACAGTGCTTGGGAAGGGTGGGAGGTCTTTCTGAGAAGACAGCGCTTGACCTGTGACCTGGTGGAAGAGAAAGCACTAACTGGGGGAAGATTTGGGGGAATTGCACTCCTGCAGAGGGAACAGCAAACGTACAAATACCCTGCCTGATGTGTTTGGGGAAATGGGGCTGCAGTGGCTGGAGCGTAGTGAGGGAGAGGAAGGGGAAAAGGAAGGTGGAGAAGAGGAAGGGAGGGGAGGGAAGGAATGTAGCAGGGCAGAGGAGACCTGCTTCACTTCTTTTAGAAGTTCCCTCCCTCTGCCTGCAATGCAGATTGGGACAGAAGATTATGGGGAAGGTATGGGGTCAAGGTCACCCCAGAGGAAGCCAGCGACACCCCAGAGGGAGGTGGTGGGGCGCAGGCCCAAATGTGGTGGGAAGAAGGGGGTCAGAATCTCAGGATGGGGATGTATTTTGGAATCAGAGCCAACAGGATTTGTTGATGGATGGGACGTGGGGGATGCACAAAGGAGAGAGTTGTCACGCACGCCTCCAGGTCTCTGGCCTGAGCACCTGGGTGGATGGGGGAGCTTTTTCCTAAGACCCAGGGATGACTTGGGGAGGAGTAGAGATTGGGGGGAAATATCAAGATTTTCCTCCAGAAGCCTGAAGTGTTCCAAAGAGGGAGTCAAACTTTGAAGGGGGGGAGTAGGGGTGGCACATATCCTGAACACAATTCCATACAAGAACTGCCACCTCCACTTCACCCTCTGGACCACCCAGTGGCAGGTGGGATTACAGCCCCATTTTTCAGAGGAGACAAACTGAGGCCTGGGGACCACCTCTGCTCTAAAATCACATGTCCTCAGTGCTCAGTGCTATGCTAAGCACTTAGATTGTGGGGCCCTTGCGGCACTGCATCTTTCCACACAAACCCTTAGACAGCCTAGGAGTCACCCACTGTGCCATGAGGGAAACTGAGGCAGAGGCCTGGGTGGTTCCAGTAAAAGACCAAACTCATCTAAAGTCCAGATTGGGGGGCAGTTGCGTAGAGCCCCCAGGACTCCAACCCCAATTCTATTATCTGACAGTCTAGGTTCTAAATTGGAGACCCAAGTAGCAGGGGTGGAGGACAGCCTTGAGCAAACAAGGTGGAGGTTCCTGAGCCCCTTTCAGACACTTTTACCCCATTAACTGGTTAGTGACATGCGTGAAGGTCCAGGCCTCAGGGAACCCCGTGAAAGGAGAGTTAGAGACCCCCCCCCCCGCCCCCCTCAGGACAAGCGGCCGGGGGCGGGGCTTCGACCCAAATCGCGGCCCGGCAGGAACTCTCATTTCTGGCCTTGAGTTCAGGGACCCTTTTATCCTGGGCGTACTGATCCGCCAGGGACGGAGAGGAGGGGGATGAGGCGTCCGGGCTGGAAGGGGGTCCCGAAACCCAAGCAATAGCCAAAAATAATAACACAGAGGATTCCTGCGCAAAAATAGTAAGACAGACTCGCATCGCTCCCGGCAGCCTGCGTTACCTGGAGTCAGCGGGCGGCGGCCGCCGGAGCGATTACTCACTGCGTGGCGCACCCCACCCGCGGGGCCGCTGAGCGGATTTTTCCGTGGGGGGTGTCAGTGAGCATGGGGGGCCTCCTTACCGCTCTCCTCCTGGGCATCGTTTCTGCCAGCGGGCAGGACCCGCACAGGGCCGCGTCCCCGCGCC